TTTGAAATCTTATGCTAAGTCGTTTCAACCCTTACAAGAGATAACAAAAAAAAAAAGGCAACAGATTCAAAAGCAATGAAGGAAAAAAGTTTCATATATGCATCATAATCATTTTACAAGGGCCATATGTCCCGATTAAGAGTTCTTTACAAGGGCCGATTGACCTCAAAATAAAAGCAAAAAATTACAAAAAGCACAAAGCTTAAGCAGCACAGTCCTTATTGGTAGAAGTATCTTCGCCCTCCGAATCCTCTCCACTGCCAGATTCACTCAAGTTCTCGGAGTCTTCCTCGGAAAAGCCAGCTTCTGAGCCTTTAATTTGTTTCCTCTGCCCTGGCAACCTCAATTTCAGCAGATATCTCGAAGCTTTGATCACGGACCCCCTCAAGGGCCTCCCTTCGAGCTTGCCACTTTGCATGATCCACCATGCTCTTCGCCTACACTAGGGTGGCTTCAGCATCGGCCTTGTATTGGGTCGCACTAGCTTGAGCCTTAATATTGGTCGCGACCGCCTCTGATTTGGCTACCTCGAGCTCTTGGCCAAGTTGTCTAAACGGGACTGAAGCTCCTCGACCTTCTTTGCATGAAGCAAGGCATTCTCCCTTGCAGCCCGAAGTTGAGACTCGGCAAACTCCGGCTCTGTTTGAACGACCTCCTTTTGTAAAGCTAAGACGTCCATGCACCCCTTGAACTCTTCGGCCTCAGCTCGTACTTTATCTATTTGCCTTTGGAGGTCCTTGATCTGTTCGAGCCTCTGTCAAACCTGCAGAATCGGATCGTTAGTTGTTATCTCCAACTCATCCTCACTATCATGAAGGACTCGGAATACTAGCTCGGCCATCTCAGCATGCTCATCTCGAGCCATCACCAAGTCTACCTGAAGCTTCTCATTGAGAAGCTTGTAGGTATCACATCTCTCAAAAAGTTCTCATGCTACAAGTGTGGGTGATTACAGGCCTATTGCAGGATATAATACAATATATAAGGTGATATCTAAGATGTTATGTAACAGGCTCAGAGTGATACTACCTACACTAATTTTTGCCAATCAGAGTGCATTCATAGCAGGAAGAACAATAGTGCAAAATGTTCTGATATGTTAAGATCTGGTAAGATTGTACAAAAGGAAGAACACTACTCTGAGCTGCTTAATCAAGATTGATCTGAGAAAAACATATGATAGTGTAGAATGGTCGTTTGTGGAAGAAATGCTTTATGCAATGAATTTCCCTCAGAGATTCATAAAATGGATTATGGCATGTATAACTACTATCGAATATAGTATTGCTATAAATGGAGGACTACATGGGAGCATAGAAGGAAAAAGAGGCTTAAGACAGGGTGACCCCATTTCACCCCTGATATTTGTAATATGTATGGAGTACCTAACCAGAATTTTGAACAAAGTTGCTGATATGAGGGAGTTTGGGTATCACACGAAGTGTAGGGGGCTAAAACTAAATCACTTATGTTTTGCGGATGACATATTGCTATTCTGTAAAGGCAATTATCAATCAGAAATGTTGATGTTAAGAGGGTTGCAGTCTTTTACAAATGCATCAGGTTTGACCACTGATGCAGGAAAGTCCAATATTTTCAGTGCCAACATGCCAAAACAAGAATTGGAAGACTTATGCGAGGCAACTGAATATCAGAAAGGGGCATTTCCATTTAGGTACCTAGGGGTTACAATTTCAACAAAGAAGTTATCAATGTTGGATTGTGAAATCCTAATAGGCAAGATGACGTCTAGAATAAGGGCATGGGGTTCTAGGAACGTGTCATATGCTGGAAGAGTGTAGTTAAGTAATTCAGTTCTGCTGCATGTCCATACATACTGGTCATCAGTTTTTATCCTTCCTAAATCTGTTCTAAAAAAGTTAACTGTAATATGTAGAAACTTCTTGTGGGATGGGAGGGAACAGACCAACAAAGCTCCATTGATTGCGTGGGATATAGTGTGCAGGCCAAAGCGTAAAGGAGGATTAGGAGTAATGGATTGCTTAGTATGGAATGAGGCAGCAATTTGCAAAGTATGTGTGGAACATAGCTCAAAAGGCTAACAACTTATGGGTGAAATGGGTGGATCACATATACATAAAAGGGACTAGCTGGAAACAGTATGTGCCACCAACTGACTGTAGTTGGTATTGGAAGAGAATATGCAATATAATGGAAAAATTCAAGGGAGGATATAGGGGGAATGACTGGCAACAATTAGGAGGAAGGTACTCTATACAAAAAGGATACCAATGGAGGAAAGGGGAGCTGAATGAATGGCCCTGGGCTAGATGGATTTGGAGCTCTGTTAATGTTCCAAAACACAGTTTTATCAGTTGGTTAGCAGTTCATAAACGACTGCTAACAAGAGAAAGACTGAAAAAAATTGGAGTATGTATAGAAACAAGGTGTGAAATATGTGGTGGAAGTAAAGAAACAATCCAACATTTGTTCTTCGAATGTCAATTTTTGAAGAAGTGTTTGAGAATTCTGTTGGAATGGCTAGGACTGGGGATAAAGGAACCAGATATTGATGGCATGTGGAGAAGACTAACGAGAAATGTTAGAGGTAAAATATGTAGGAAAATCATTATAGCAGTTATGGCAGCACTGGTGTACAAGATATGGCAGGTCAGAAATGATGCACTATGGAACAACAAAGTATCACATCCAATGGTGATTTGTTAACAGATTCAACAAGAATGTAAAGTCAGATTGAATATGGAAAGTATTAGGAAAGAGGGAAAAGATAGAAGGAATGGATAGAGGAATTGTTTTTAGCACAACAGAGAGGGATGATAGAAAGGGAAATTTTGCTGCTAGAAGGAATTTACTTCTAGTCTGTACAGCTTTAACATAAAATGTATAATTGGTTGGTTGAGAGATTAATAATATTTTTTTTTACACCAAAAAAAAATGAAGTTAGGTTTGATGAAGCCCAACTTCAAAGCCCGAAGAAAAAGAAGAAGAAACAACAAGTTCAATATGAAATTTATGAAAATTGACTTAACTTTAAATAGTTTTTAAAAAAATTAATATGCTTTAATAGGGGTGCTACAAGGGGCTACCGCCTAGTCATAATTTCTACGAAAAAGTGAACTTCTAAAACTATACTGATGTAGTGGCGGATCCACCATTCCTCAAAATATTACATAAATTACATGTAAAAACTAAATATATCAAATCTTTGATGATTTCATAGTCTATGATTTGTTGGTACAACTTCTAAATGTGTCTTACTTTTGAACTGAACTCTTTCTAGCTAGAGAGATGTCTCTCCTATCGCTATTATATTGCATGAGCAATTACTAGGGGTTGCTATTTTCCTTTTTCCTTGTTTTTTTCCTTTTTACTAACTACGTAAATTTTATAATTAAGTACTATTTTATTTACATAACCTTTTTGTTGTGCTATCTTGGAAATCAGACTGTTTAGCTGATCAGGCGGCTTTTCTATATATAGAAAAATAAAAAAGTTAAAGTAACTGACGACAGCAAATAGCATGGCATGCAGTGGAGTTTTGTTGGGCCATTTTGCTTATGCTCAGAACTAGGGCTGTGCATGGATCAGATCGGATCGATTTAATATATTTCGGATCGGATTTTTAATTTCGGATTCTAGAAAATGCAATCCGATCCGAATTAATATTGTATCGAATCGGATTTTAAAGTTTGGATCGGATCGGATTTTCGAATTTCGGATCGGATTATTATGCCTCAAAGTTGCAAACTCATATGTATTTTTTCTTTGTAAAAGAGGCAATAAGTAAGAAAAATTCATGTTTCTGCAATTATGAGAGAACTATGGTGCCAATATAGCTAAATCTATCAATTGTAAAGGTAATAACTTGGAGGAAAATATAAAAGAAGTACTAACTATCCGAAATTAAAGTTTAGTATTTATACATGCCCTAATAATTTCGAATTTCGAATCGGACCGGATCGCATCGTATTAGAATTATACCAATCCGAATCCGATCCGAAATCCGAAATTTTAATAACCACAATAAAAAATCTGATCCATTCCGAAATTCGAAATCCAAATTAAACGGATCGGTTCGAATTTTGAATATGCGATCCAAATAAACAGCCCTACTCCAAAAGTTATACACTTTGTTTTACAAAGTGGCGTTACTGTACCTTTTTTGTTTCAATTATCTTCTGCTTGCGGTGACATATATATATATATATATATATATATATACTACAATTCTACAAAGGTTCCACCTTTCCTTTTCTTTTAGGGAAAAAAAGGGGGCTACATTAAAAGTTTTTATTATGTAAAGGGGATTTTCATATATACATAAAAATTAAATTTCTTTGACCTAAATTTGCTGTATAAATTTTCCATAGAGATTCAATTAAACTCTCTTCACCATATATAGCTCCGCCACCATCGGTTAGGAGGACAAACATTATTAAGTGACAGATTAAGATATTAATTAAATGAAATTCCTGTTTCTTTGTTCTCCAGCTATACCATGTGCATTCTTTTGTAAATTATTGCAGATTTCAACAATAAATCCAGATATAGGGAAATTAGAAAGATGATTCTTGCGGCGGGTCAAATATATAAGAGTAGGTTACAGTTTGAACTTTAATTTGTTTATCTCGATCGACTGCAAAAGGAATCTTCAAGAACATGTAATTAATATCTAAAATCTAGTTATATTATCATTAATTAACATCCAAAATATCGAGTCACTTACTAAGATCTAGAGGGGAGGAATGTTAGTTTCATGATGTACAAGTAGGTCCAAAAGAAATTAAAACACTCTCTTACTTTTCATGCATATGCCCATAAAGACCAATGACAAAATAAGTGTTATTATCCTTCTCTAATACACAAAAGCTAAAAGAAACAAGAAAAATAAAAAATAAGAGGAAGATGCGAGGAAAAAATCAATGGAAAAATTAAATACAACCAGTACCTGTTAAATTAATAAGAAGACCCTTTCACCCATATAAACAAACCCATGTATATAAAAATAATGACAAAAGTTAAAAAGATAAATTTTGAGTATCTTTTTTAATCATATACATTAATTGATGAGGCTCCCATGCATAACCTCTAAATACTTTGATATTGTCAAATTCTTGTCTACAAACCTTGGTCATTACACATAATGGGTCCAATAATCTGACCTCCTAAAAGAAAGTAAGAAGAAGACGCAAAGAAAAAATGAATGCAGAAAATACAATAACACACCACAAAGGTCATCAATTGGACCGAGTCTAAAACTATCAAAATCACCTTCTACAAACGGATCAACCAACAACTTTTAACGTTAATTAGTGATACCATGTCAGATGAAAATGACCAAAAAAGCCACATTATAATTAACATACCGGAAAACCGCTCTAATATACCGGTAATTAAATAAACCACCATTTAATTAGGAGACAGTTAAACCAAGAACGTCAGCTGCAGATCTTCCCATAATATTAGCAAACTCGTTGAAACTAATAACACCATCCCCATTCGTATCAGCTTCTTGCATCATATCAGACAACTCTTTGTACGTTAACGGACGTCCCATTTTAGCCATTGATCCAGCCAGCTCAGCCGCCGTGATGTAGCCGTTACCGTCACGATCGAACGATCGGAAAACCTCCATGAGTTGTTCTTGATTTATCAAGATTTCAGCGTTCATGTCAGGCAATATGGCATTTACGAGTTCGTCGAATTCAATGAATCCGTTGCCATTGTTGTCCATGTTGGCTAACAATATGTGGATTTGATCTCCTGTGGGTTTGAGGCCTAGTGAACGGAGGAGAGCGGCTAACTCTAGCTGAGTGAGGCTGCCATCACGATCAAGATCAAATCGCGTGAATATTTCCTTTAGCTGTTTGTGTTGATCTGATTGAAGAGTAGCCATAATTACGCCGTATATATTGAGCTCGTAATGATATCTTGCTATTCAGAAGAATGATATATATAGAACTCGTAATTAATGGTAGCTTAGTATTCAGAAGAATATATCTATGGTGTGTGAGAAATAAAAGAGAAAGAAGAAAGGAGAGAAGAAAGCAAGATGTGTCAAGTTGTGTTTTTTGTTTGTTTTTGGATTTAGTGATGTAAAGACAAACCGTGTGAGGAACTAGGAAAAGAGAGCAAGTGGAGGAAAGAGAGAGGAAAAAGTTGACGTGGGGGGTTGGGGTGGGGGATGGAAATTGTAGAGGAAAATACTTGTCTATATTTATTGATGATGTGATATAAAAGAATGTGATTATTGGTTTAACGTAATCGTCGGGCGAAGGTAAATTTTTTATTGTAACTCTTAAAACAACTAGTTTTGGATAAGATCAAATTTTCTTATCGTCGAGGTTAGCTTGTCTAATTTTTTATATCTTTTTCTTTTCGTGAATCACTGAATTACTGTATTGATCGCATTCATTCATGGATGCTATTTGGAATGACAGGTTTGTCATTCAATAAATGGTTGGTGAAACCATTAATGAAAAATAGTACCTGGGTGCATAAAGCATTTTGTATTCAATTACGTAGGATTTAGGGAAGAGTCACACCCCAAGAAGTGTTATATGTCTCGAACTCAACATATAAAGTTCACACGGAGATAACTTTACCTTTACTCTAAGGTTTCCTTTCTAAATAGTTAATGAAAACCATTAATTAAAATTACGCGACGAAGCAAATATATACACTGTATTTACTATTCATAGCTATACTTTCATAAAGTTACTATTCAAGGTATATTCAAATTTAATAGCAAAATTATATTTAGCACTAAAACATGTTGGAGCTGAAAATTGTAATCAGCCTGGTTAAGTAGCAGGCCCAACTTATATTCAGGCCCAAGTGTAATTTAAGGTACCCGGCCCAAATTGTATATATAAGTCAATATGTATTAGTCTAGAGACGGATTTTATTTTGTATCGAAAACACATTCAATAAACCAATCTTTCTAGAGCTTCTCTCTCTACTCTTGTTTCCAAATTAGGATTCTTCAATCTATGGCTTCCAACTGCTAAAGCTGAGCATTAACATGGTATCAGAGCCACTACAAGGATTCATCGGAGCTAATCTGTTGGTTTCACGGTAGCTGCGTAAGGATTTGGTTGTTCTCCGATGGATTAACTCATCGCAAGGGTTTCGATTTGAATGACAAGTCTTCGATCAATTTCTTCTTTGCTGCTTACGGTATTCTGATTTCTCATATTTGCTTCAAGAATTTTTTGAAGAATTCATCAGTATTGTTCCCTTACTGTCATTTTTTTGAACCGATTCAATTGAGTGTGGGTATAATTTTTTTTCCTTGCTGAAACCTTAAGTGAATTACTATGGGTTCAACCTCGACTCCTGTTGACAGTACTGTTAGTAGTGATGACACTACTCTACATTCCTCTTCACCTTTATATCTTTTGTCGTCTGACTCACCTGGTACGGTGTTGGTTTCTAGCACATTTGATGGTACTGGTTATGGGAGCTGACGAAGGGGCATGTTACTAGGTTTATCTTGTAAGAGCAAATTAGGGATGATTAAAGGTACAATTCTGAAACCTAGCCCTAATTCCCCTCTATTTGAGCCTTGGACCAGATGTAACGATATGGTAGTCTCTTGGATACTTAATAGTTTGGATCGAGAGATTAGGGAAACCGTCATGTACACAGAATCTGCTGAAAGGTTGTGGAATGAAATTGAAAAGAGGTTTGGGCAGGCCAGTGGTATCAAAATATATCAGATTAGAAAGGAAATCTCATCCGTTTCTCAAGGAACATCCAGTATCTCCTCCTATTTCAATAGGATCAAAAAGTTATGGGATGAACTCTCATTTGTTATCTCTTCTCCTGATTGTGTTTGTGGCTGCAAGGAGAAGTTTCAGAAATTGGATGAAGATCAAAAGGTTCATCAGTTTTTGATGGGCCTCAATGAGTCCTACTCCACAATTAGACGCAGTATTCTCTTGATGAAGCCCCTACCTGATGTGGACAGTGTCTACATGTCACGCCCCAACCTCGGGAGGCGCGTCCGGCGCTCAATCGAGTGAACCCAACTGAGCAATCCTTTTGAACACTTTCTACCCAACTTAATACGATTAAGAAACCATGCTTTCGTTTATTTAGACAATAGGAAACATCGTACATGCAACATTGTTAGTTCATTTTATATCACAAACCTTAAACCATAGTTAAGTTTCCAAGATTTCATATAGTTACAGTTTAGAAGAACTAGAGTTTAGAATTACAACACAGCTCATTGACCCATCCAAAACCCGTACATAACCCACACAAACGCCTACGGAGTCTCTAAAGATACAAAAGACAATTATGATAATGCCGGCAACAAGGCCCCGGCTATACCTCAAAAGTGTAAATCTATAACAAAATACATACTGCATCACCCCTGGAAGAAAAGAGGCTCACCAAGATTGCTGAGTGGAGGATGCTCCGCTATCTACAATTGGCACTGTCTGCTGTGGAGCCACTTACATCTATTCAAAGATGTAGCGCCCCCGGTAAAAGGGACATTAGTACCATGGAATAGTACTAGTATGTATAACTAAACACCATCTCATTAGAAAGAACTATGATACAAGAACAAGGAAACCACAAGGATCAATCAAAAGCTTTATACGATCACCACATCATCAAATAAAAGGATCATATAACTTTCACATAATTTCCATAGCTTTAGGTTGGGGCATTTAATACTATTCATCATCATTCATAATACCACCGCTTTCTTGTGCGGAGTCCGATCACGACCCGATTGGCTAGGTTGCCTTATTTGAGACATGTATCTCAATCACAATCTCATTCTCACTTTCCGGATTCAATATCAGCACAATACCACCATGTGTGCGTCATGGCGTCCGATCAGAGCCCGATCGGCTAGGCCGTCTTACCAAGACGTTGTTCCTTTTTCATTAATCATCTCATCTCAATCTTTATTCCACATATATCAATTCGTAGGCACTTGGGGCCACAATTATCACATCATACTTGGCACTAGGCCATATTTCACATCATTTCCACTTTCAATGTTAACCTTGCAATTTAGGATAATAGGCACATACAAGAGCAATTCAAGTTGTAAGCATAGATAAGATTTCACATAGTTGGCATGACAGTCTCAGTTTTAATCTTGACTTGAAGTCTAGGCAGTTCAACACATGGTTCATATTCTTCGCACATCTTTAAATTATCAAGAATAGTACATTGAACACATTGAGGCACATCTTTCACGTATATATAATTGCAAAACCAATTCATGTGAAATAACAATCAATACATCAATCAAATTTTAGTCTTACAACATTTGCATAGACACCAACGGAGCTCAATTTCTAAGAAGAGAGGGTTTTAGCCATACATACCTCAATGAAGCTTTTTCTTAAATTCTTACAATAATTCCGAAACTCTTAGCCACCTCGATCTATTTATGAGAATTACAAGTTGATCCAAAAATTAGAGAGATAATCAAGATTCTAGCTCACTTGAGCATACTCTCAAGCACTAAGTGTGCATTATGAATTTTAAGGTTTTTTGTGAAAAATTCTATCATCCTACACCCTATTTTGTTACATTCTTAGCTCACAATCTCCCCATACCCTTTTATCATACATGCATGCAAGACAATCAACCCTTATACCCATGAACCCATTTGTTAATTACTTAATTTAGTAGGAATTTCAAAATCAAAGGTTAGAGCACAAGTTCTTACCTCTTAGGATGAAGGCCTAGTAACTGTACTTGATAATCTTCAAGGATTTGGGCAAGGATTGAGTAGAGGCTTGGTGGGGATCACTTTATCCCTCTAGAACTCTTGCTCTCACTCTAAATCTAGTAGAAATTAGCTCAAAAGGGTCTAATGGGGTGATTTTAACGGAATGGGGTCGGGTTTTAAAATTTAGAAAATGGGAGCCCCGACTCAATCTACGGTCGCATATGCGACCGCATAACTGATATGCGGCCCGCAAAAGGGACCGCAAAAGTGGCCCTCAAGACCTGGATACACTGCCCGCGTATGCGACCAATATGCGGTCCGCATACCTGTTCTGCGGTCGCATAATGCACCGTAGAACTGCCCTATACAAAAATCCAAGGAGGCTATGCGATGACTATGCGGCCCGCATATTGATTATGCGATTGCATAATTGGCCGCATAGTTGACTTCAAAACTAACCAACATACTGCCTTACTCTGCGGCGACTATGCTGTCTGCATAGCTATTATGCGACCGCATAATGGACCGCAGAAACGCGCTTTTCTAAAAAACATTATTCCTCAACTTTCTAATGCGAAGATCAATCCAAAGGGTCCGAACAAATTTCTAACACATATTCCTAACTTGCCACTACGAGATTTTGGGTTTTTGAGTGAAAATTTTACGGGGCCTTACACTACACCATGCTTGTGAATGATGAGAGCCGGTCCACAGTACAAGCTGCTATTCCTTCTTTCAATTCTAATTCTGGGGCATTCTCCACTGGCATACAGAAACCTTATAATCAGAGAGTTAATTTTGACACAGGTAAGAGAAATAATTTGGTATGTAGATATAGTAAAAAGCCTGGACACTCAATTGAAAAATGTTTCAAGCTCAATGGCTTTCCACCTGGATTCTCAGCTAAATTCAAAAGAGCTGTAGCTTTTGCTCAAGTTTCTGATACACAATCTCAAGGTTAGCCTGAAGTTGGCGGTGGTGATGTTAAGTAAGTGTCTTCAGACTCTGGAGGTACAAGCATTACTAAGGAACAATTTGATCACTTAATGAATCTTCTGCAACAATCCAAAATACAAACCGGTCCTCAGGAAATCACTGCTGGTTCTGCCAATTTTGAAGGTTTGATAGGTAACCCTACTTTCAATAGTTCTAGGTTTCTTTCTTGTAATTTTTCTAAGATACAGAATAGTCCTTGGATTATCGATTCAGGTGCAACTAATCACATGACACCACACTCTTCCTTCTTATTTGATGTTAAACCTCTTATTTTTCCTTACCTGGTTACTTTGCCTAATGGATACAAAGTGAAAGTGACATGCACTGGCACTCTAACACTAACTCCTGAAATTTCCCTGACTAATGTGCTTCTAGTTCCTTCCTTTCTATATAACCTGATTTCTCTTGCTCAATTAATTCTACAAATACTAGATAAGGTGATGCCCGTGCTGAGCACGGGCCCAACGCTTCAACTTAGATATCTCTGTTTATTATGTGAAT